CCACACATTACAGAGACCCTGAGACAAGTGGCTGTAACTGTGTTTATTGATGAGGCCGGGGCTTCTGCTGAGGCCCCGGCGGGGAGGGGCACGGGCAAGGTGGGGGTGTGGAAGCTTCGAGTGCTCCGTTGTTGGGGAGCTTCCAGACCAGGCGAGGGAGGGCGAGGCCTCAGGCACACGGCCGCGCCTGGGCGCCCCCAGACAGAGGTGGACAGGCAGGCAGGCGCCGGCGCGGCGCTGGCCAAGGAGGCCGCGCACACACGCACACGCACACACACTCGCACGGAGAGACTCAGGCTGCCTCCGGCTCCAAACCAGTGCAAGTGACTTAGTGCAAATTGAACTCAGGAGGGACGGGGGACGGAGCCGCAGGTGCTTCGAATCTCTCAAGCAAAGGAAAGACAGGAAAGACAGAAAGGAGAAGACGGAGGAAAGGAGGAAGAAAGACAGAGGAGGGAGGTGGTGATGGGGCCGTCCCGCCCCAGGATGGCTTGGTGGGCGGTGGTCCCCACGCGCGGCAGGGGGTGGCCACGAAGATGGAGTCGCCGAGGTGGGGGTGGTGCGGGCGCTGCTCTTCCGATGGTGTCTGCGGTGTTGTGTCGGCGGGATCCGGTTCCTTCAGCTTAACCTGCGGATAGCGGATAGCGACATGACGTGCGGGTGGGGGCAGGGCGGGGGGGGACAGGAAGCTTCCAGAAGGGGCGCCCGAGCTCACCTTCGGAGCCGATTCCTGAGTCGGGTGTGTAGTGGTTCCAAAGTGCAGCATATCTCGGTTCAGAGCTAGACAGACTTGCAGAAGTCCCGGATCGGAAGGCCCAGGCGTGAGCTGGGTAGCACCATTTCTGCGGGTGGGAGCGAGTGAGGCCCCGCCCTGTCGCCCCGCTGTCCCCACCGGCTGGGCGGCAGGGGGGCCTCACCTTTCACGTGGAGGGTTCTGGGGTCCAGAGAGCAGCAGTGTGAAGACTCCTGTGGGAAAGCGAAGGAACAGAGACCCGCCTGCGTCGCAGCGTCCCCGCGGTGCCAGCCGAGGATGTCCTGTGGGAGACAGTTGGGGGCAGTGAGAGGATGACTCGGCCAGGGGCCTGGGCGCCAAGCCTGGTCCCTAGGAAGGGGACATGCTCACCGGGAAGGCCGGACGGCATCCTGTCTGTCCTCACCGTCACACCGGACCATGTCACGTCCCTCAGCAGTCTGCCGGGCCTGGCGTCCTGGCCTTCAGCGGCTGGCGGGACGTCCACCCCTGCCGGAGACCTGGCTGTGGGGAGAAGGGGGAGGCGCTGGCTGGGCAGGCGGGCGGGGCGGCGGGGGCGGAGGGCGGCTGCGGGTGGGCACTCACCCTCAGTCTCCGGCCCAAGCACTGGGGCGCCGATCACTGCTCCGTCGCCGCCCGCGAGGCCCGCCGTGGCCACGGGCTCCGGAGGCCAGCGCCCCTGGGCTTGCGCCTGGCTGCCGCTTTGCACCCCTGCCTGTGTCCAACCTCCCTCCTGAGACTCACTCACTCCGCCCCGCCCGCCTCGCCTGGTCTGGCCTTGCCCCGTGCCCTTGACTCCCCTGGGTGCTGAACTGTCTGCCGTGCCAATCCCGGGGGCTGAGCGGTGAGGGCATACAGTGTCGCCAAGTCCACTGTGGGCCCTCTCCGCGCCAGCCCCTGGGCTGCAGTGCCTCGTGGGGACAGTGTGCCTGCAGGCTGGGCCTGTGCAGCCTCCTTGCTGCGATATCTCTGGGGCCCGCCACCCGCGGCCACTGCTCCCTCCTGGTGACATCCTGCCGAGTACCTGGGCACTGCCTTTCTTTCCCGCTCTCCGGCCCTCGCGCTCCGGCGCAGCCTCAGAAGGTTGTGTCGGAGCCACTCCTATGCCTGCTACTAAATGAATTGCGGTGGGTGGGATGTGGTGGCGGCTGGGGACCCCCCTGCATCTCGTGTCCCCGCCTCGTCCCTGTCTGGCTCAGGGCTGGCATGCGACCCCCCGTGCTGGCAGCCTCTGCCTCTCAAAGTGCTCTTTCTACCTGGTGGGCCCGCGCCCCCCAGCCTTGCCCCGTCTCGGCTCCCCCCGAGAAGATGTCTCCTTTGCTAACTGTCCTGCCTTCGTCCTGCCACGCTGCCGGGAGGACAGCCGCTTCCCTCCCCGGCCCTTGCTCTCCCAAACCTCCTTCTTCCAGAAGGCCGGTGAGGCGAGGCCCGGGGAGGGGAAGGGGACTCACCTGCCCGGCAGAGTGGGGTCCTCACCTGCCCACTGCTGCCAGCTACACCTCCACTGCCCAGCCCTGAGGCCAAACCCTGCCCAGCAGCTCCCCTGGTCCGACCAGCCGCCACGTCCTGTAACCAAAAGTGACCGGGATGAATGTCTGGCTCCCTCTCCTCTCCACGCCTGGCTCAGGCCCTCACACCGATGTTGCCCATGACCCTGGGAGTGCGCTCCCAGCCGGCCAGCCTGCCTGAGCCAGCCCCTCCGCCCTCACCACTCCTGCCAGACCCCAGACGGCCAAGGTGCTCCTTGGCCCCTCCAACCTCTCCTCCTGCACCCCATCTTCCCCAGTTTCCCCGCTACCCCCACCCCCCACCCCCTCCCTCACCCTGCTCTTCGGCCCTAGCCAGGGCTTTTTCTAACTGGGGTGGCTCCGCCCCGAATTCCCGCCCCTGCCTCTCTAGCCAATCAGAGTGGGGACCTTGCCTGGGCCCCCGCAGGGCCCACCTCCACCCTGTACCGTTCCAGCGCACGTTCCTCTCACCCCATCCGGGAATTCTCCAAAGACAGCCCCCGCCCCGTGCACCCCTCCTCTGGCACCCCTTGGACAGGGCCTGGCATTGTCCCCAAAGTCTCCCTCTGGATCAGGGACTTCTACTCTCTGAGGCTGTCAGCTCCCGGCAGGGAACACTGAGCGCGCTGCTCCCTGGCCACGGGTGCTGGGAGTAAACTCTGCCCACGGCTGGGGTCCTGGCTGGGGGGCCCTGGGGACTTGGATGGGACACAGAGCTGCATTCTTCACCCACCATGGCTGAGACCTCGCATTTGCTCTAGGGGCCTGGGAGCACACGGGGAGGCATCACATGGGGTGCTCTTCGTGGACAGTGGGGGGTTAGGGCTGAGTGGGACCAAGGGAAGCGCCGGGACCTCGGTGGGCTGGGTCCGCACTGGTGGGTGTGGTGGCTGCTGCCAGCCCAAGTTCCATCTAGTTGACCAAGCTTACACTGGCCACAGCGGTTTCCACAAGGTGGACTCTCCAATGCTGGCCGGGGCACCCCAGGGCCCCATCCCTGCTACTTCCCTGGTGGTCTGGATATGCTCCTCACTCTGTTGCACCACTCAAGGGCGCGCTCTGGTGACCAGCTGTAAACCGCCTCCCAGCCCCGCCCTGCCTCCCCCAACCCACATGGGGCACCACATTCTGAAATGGAATGGAGAGCGCAGACCTTCCACTCCACTGGCGATCCTGTTTCCTGAGTGACCACCTTAGCCTCTGTACAGGGGGTTTGGGGGCCCTGTGGTCGAAGGGTTTGCCCACCAAATCTGGGGTGTCAAAGCCACAGCATGGGTTAGTGGAGGACCACGAGAGCATGGCTAGAACTGGGTGGCAGAGGGACCCAGAGCTCATCAGGCCTGGCCGCAGGCAGGGCCTAGGTGTGCACAGGGGCTGGCTGAGCCATGGGCAAACCCTCTGATCCCGCAGCCACCACCATGAAGTGCTGGGTGCCTGCCTGTGAAACTGTGACACCCCAGCCTCTGTCGTGGGTGAACCCCAGCTTCACTGTGCAAAACCCTCAGGCTTGGTCATGGGTGAACCTCGAATTAAAGATGAATGTACACCCCCACCTTTTGCCACGAGTGGAACTCAGCCTCAGCAGCCGCCAAGCTGTGATGAGTGAGTCTACACTGCCGCCTCGCGGCCACGACTGTCGCCACACCCGCAACCGACTGCGCTATTCCAGGAGTGAGACAGACTTGCTGGTTTCCGAGCCAAAGACCGAAGCGGGAGAATCCAGAAAAATCCATATGCCAGGCAGGGTAGCCACACAGGTCCCCTGTTCCTACGGGAGGTCTTGTGGGAAGGGTCTACCCTGATCCTATAGTGCTGTCCTGGAATTGGACTCCCCGCAATGCCCAGGCATAGGGCACACCTGTAGAC